ATATTTTTGAGATTTTAATTTTTTGCTTCGATTGTGGGTAATGATCTTAGAACCATACAGTACAGTTTAGGCGCTGTGAAAATATTATTATCGCATTCGGTGTTTTTCTCTTTTATTTTGACAATATTTCGATAAAACAAAGCAAAAAATGGTATTTTGACTTAGAACAACTTACGTGTGAGATATCGACTTCGCTTTTATTAATATAAAACACTATAACCGCGTTTAAATTAATGACTCATTGATTAGATCCATATTTGTCTGTCCCTTATAGTCTTCTGATCATTGACTTACAAATAAATGGACGACGGGTTCGTGGTTTTTGTATTAGATACAAAAACCACGAAAAAATGTCCCAAGTCAACCTATTCGAAATTTAAATTGTAATGTCATCGCAGTATCGCGCTGTCAGTAGAACAAATGAAGACTAAAGCGGAGTGTCGCACTCTGTATACGATTTTAGCGCCTTACAAGTGCGGACACTTTTTAGCGCGGACCCGACGTCCATATAATTGTAAGTCAATGCTTCTGATAATAATTATTTGGTAGTGCATGTCAGTGTTTTTTTATGGTTTTAAGTGTCAAGTCAAATACGTCACGCGTCAGTCGCTAAGCGACACGCCTATTCAGAGCGGCGAGACGAACTAGTCGTGCGCGCGGTGACAGGAGTCACGCTTATCCATAGCACATAGAGTGCCACACAGAGCTTTACATTTAAAAGATGTAAAGGGTGACAATGCCCTTAGATATAAGTAGACAAGTACCATATGCCTGTAATGTTACTAATTTAAGTTTAATAGACAATATGGCTTCACTATATTTGTCTGCCTAATGTATGCCCTGGCACCTGGCACAGTGAAATAATACCTATTTTCTTACTCTCACCGTATTACGATCTATTTTCATAGATAAAGTAGTTATTAATTGTGAGAACAAACTTTTAAACAAAATTGTATTTTTCTGTCATTGGCCACAATTTAATGTAGTCGGATGTAATATTAAAAATCAGTTAACAAGAATATACCCCTCAATTAACTCAAGAGAATTCCATATTCACCACTCAAAACTTTTTAAATATACCACGTTCCAATTCAATCTTGTCAGTTATAAAGTAAGTGGTTCGGGTACCCATCGAGTCTCAAGGCCCGGGGGCAAAGTTGCAGGTGAACCGATAAGGGTGCGGCCGCACCCCCACCTGACATGGCCTCGCTTCTTTGTGCCGTCACAGATTTTATCTAGAAACTTTGTCTCAATGACACTTATGAACTGAACAACTGAGTGGGTATTCATTGCATATAATTTCTTCGATAGACGTATCGAGAATTGCAAATTGAGTAACAGTATGTACAATCCTTGAAAAAAGTGTGAAATACCCAACCTGCATTGAGTCTGTGGCATAAACGTTTTCCTTACAGGAGAAACGTGCTTAGTTTGTTGTTTGTTATTGTTCAAAGGTACGAGATAATTCATATAATTACTTCGTAGTACGCTACGCTCTACGCGTAAACTATATTTAGCTACGAGTGCGCTACGACCTACACCGGCGAACCCAAGCTGATACTTTTAACGCTACAAAAATATAGTACAAAAAACTGAAAAGTAGACTTAAGTAATATGTACGAAAATTAAACAGACGTTTCCTATTTTGTATCACGTCCGTCATGAAAGAAAAACAGGCGTTCCCTGATAAATAATAATTGTATGTTGTATGTCTTATAATCAGATTCTTTTTGTTATGTGTCCATAACAAACAAATGTCATTGTAGGTACGAGGTTAACACTAAAATTACAAGGATCCCACTTGCGTCACGCATGTAAATTATATATTACCCAAAAAATCCGTAACAATGTCCAATAATTATGTATTAGTCAATAATTCCAACAATGAACGGTTTCGTGGGAATACTACTGAATATTTACAGGTAGCGAAAAGTTTAGTAAGACGAGCATATTTTATTTTGATTCAAATGTTTTGAGCTCTAGAAAGAACAGATAACGTCTTATAAGGATTTTGTAGTACACTAAACTTACCTTTATTTATCGGCTTTACATGTTTAACAATTATAACCTGATTATAACCTTAAATTCAATACTTACGATCATTGACTTACAATAAATGGACGTCGGGTCCGCGCTAAAAAGTGTCCGCACTTGTAAGGCGCTAAAATCGTATACAGAGCGCGACACCCCGCTTTAGTCTTCATTTGTTCTACTGACAGCGCGATACTGCGATGACATTACAATTTAAATTTCGAAAAGGTTGACTTGAGACATTTTTTTCGTGGTTTTTGTATTAGACCCGTCGTCCATTTATTTGTAAGTCAATGCTTACGATGTATTTACCGAAATTGTGCAAATTATGACAACGTTTCTCTTCCCCCAAAATATGGGGTAAGAGGAACAATCGTTGTATTTCTTATAAAGGTAATGTATACCACGTGTTCTCAATATTTCACATATTTTACAGCAGTCAAATTACTTGTTCCGCGTTTTGAATTTGAAGTATCGTAGCGACATCTGCTTAAAATAGTTTAAATTAATTTGTTTCGTAGTTTTATTGACTGAGAGACTAAACTCTTAATTTATGAGTTAAGGCTTCAAATCCCTCTTCCCCCAGTATTCCTCTTACCCCACCTGACCCTATATTTATTGTAGAATGTTCTAATTCCTGTTATAATAATATTCGTCTACAAACCTCCAACAAAACTCGCCTGCGAAATATATTAATGTTTTTCCATAAGAAAATGTATTTTTTTAGAAGGCAATCACAGCACGTACACAGATATACTCTAATGGCAGAAACACTTGTTTGCTTGAGAGGCACTCAAAGAATGATTTTTATAATAAGATTAATGTTTTGAGTTTAATATTTTAGTACACTCAGTATTTGTTACTTGATAAACTGCTAGCCATTGTGCTTAAAAAAAAAACACCTTTTTTTAAAAAATAAGCACCGGTATTGTCTTTCTATCTTTCTTCGGCCACGCGACAGTTATTATTCTTCCCTCTTAGGGTCGTATTCCAGAACTCTACTCAATACTCAAGTCAGGTTGAGTAGAGTTCTGGAATACGATCCTAAGACAAGTTTCTTTATGTGATGTGAGACAAAAGAGTATTAATATAAAATTTGACAATTACTTTTAATTTCATTCAGATTATTCATTTCATTTTAACGAAAATGACCGATTCCATATTTCTTAAGTACTTATATGTTTTTACAATATTCGTAAAGCCATTGTAAGGATTTGAATAGTCGTTGTTAATGGTTGTGCACATTAAAGTTTGCCGTTAGAATCCATTAAGGTGCGTGCGTACCGACGGACGCGTATCGCCTGCGTATCGCCTAATGCACGCCCGCGCACGCTATGTCTGCATTTGCCCTAACAGATTACGATAGGGATGTCAGATAAAGAAAGAAAGAATTAAAGTAGGTATATTGTTGTCGTTGTTGCCATGTTGTCGAAATTTTACGTAAGATGCTGAAGACGCGTCCGCTATATTAAGACATTTTTGTATGGGTATTGGGGTTTTTATGACACCAAGTAACAAGACGAGCAAGTCGTGCGCCTGGTGAAATTCGTCACGCTTGTCCATAGCAGTTGCAGTGCCACTCAGAGCTTTAAGTCGCAAAGATCTGAAGGGCACTGCCACTGCACCCGTTACCCTGAGACATAAGTTGCCAAGTGCGCCTGCAATTTCACAGCACTCTTAGCCTTCAAAACCAGAACGCAGTAATGTGAGCATTACTACTTGGCGGCAGAAATAGGTGAGGTGGCAGTATTTCCTTGGACGAACTCTTTCACAAGGAGCTTGCTTCTAGAAATGCTCGAAAAGAGCCCCCTCACAATGGCGTACTATTCACATCCTCTGTTCATCTGGCGTATTCTGGGCCACAATCGGTGAGTACATTTAGTCCCACACGTCAGCATGGCGGCTACTACTAGTGACGCGGGTAGCGGCAATTACTTCTGGACTACAATAATTTAATGAATGCCAAACATAAGATAACAAGAAGTCTGTATTAATGTGTCTGTCTAGAGATATTATAAATACAATTATATATTTTATATATAATAATTATATTATATTATTAAATTTTATTGAATTGATATTCAATTATTTTTTGAGAAATTACTCCACTAGTTTGTTATAATTATTAATACGAAGATTATTACAAACCAGCGGACCTCACGAATTTTTCTATTTTATATTTATCTTTGTATTTGGTTTTCAACAACTTTTTTTAGTCGTAGCGCCATCTGTAAGGTCCGCTGGTTCATTCCGTGGTTTAGTTGGCATAGCGTCTGGCACAGTTTGCTAGAAGACGTCGGTTCGAATCCGGCCGGATCGAAGGAATTTTTTCTAAGTGTTCGATTTTTGTATTAATAATTACAATTACATGTGTTACGTTTTGTTGAATGGTACTCATATTTTACCCATGAAACGTTTGCTAATATATATAATAATGTTTGTTTGTGTATATTTTAAGATTTTAATTCATATTTTATATGAAAATCGAGTTTTAATTTCGCACAATTTAATTTGGTATGTAATATGACACTGCACTTTTTTTGGAAGGACGAGATATTTTTTCAAGTTACTTGTATTTAAATCAAATAAGGGAAAAACTTAATGCTGTGTCATGGCAGAAACTCAAACTCAAGGCGGTGAACAGAGATTGGCGATTATTCCACCGACAACAGCCTCGCTCTTAAATAAAAAGAAGTGTACATAAATTATGGCGACCGTACCCTTAGTGACGAATCGTTTAAATATCTTTTTCTAAGGGAAATTATTCAAGTAAAATGGAGTGCGCTTCTCTCACTCAGTATAAGTGATATTTCAGTTACTCTCGAGTCTTCGCAAAAAATATACACGGTGAAATGTCTGCGAGATTTTTAAGGGAACAATTAAGTATAATGGTGCTGCTACAGCGAAAAGAAAATACATCTCTTGTCTGTAAATCTGGACATAAAATACGTGTGTAAATAAAAACTTACTTGTGCCAAGATCTTGGAGTAACACTGGTGAATTTCATTAACCGTGTCACTGTAGCGATAAACGTTGACAAAATCGTTTGGTCCGAGCGTATCCAGAATCCCTGAGACTGTCGCTTTCGCCAACCTCCAGTACGAAGAGCCTAGGTCATCCGAGTCATCGAGAAGGATCACCAGGTCTTTGGGTGACGTGGCTGCCTCGACGAACCAGTTGGAAGATCGGAAGTCGTAGAAATCTCTTGCGTGGTGTGAGTAACCGTCTTCTGGTGGCCACGACATTGCTGCCAAAATGCCAAAAATTTAATTGTTATCATTTTGAATGTATATTTTTCTTTTTTTTGTCTTAGGATAATAGCAACATTTAAAAATCATAAAGGAGGCCCCAGGTTCGATTCCCGGGCCGGGAGAAATGTTTGTATTGCCTGCATTAATTTATCTCGTGAGTTTGGGTGTAATTTGTGGTTGTCTATGTATGTGTCCATGGGACCTGCGACACAGTGTTTCCCTAGTGCGAGGCTATATTGAGTGTGTGCGTTATTATTATTATTTTATTATTATAAATATAATTCGCAAGCATTTTTATGCATGTTAATCTTTCAATTGTAAAAGGAAGATATATTATTATATTTATTTTATTGTTACTATTTTTTAAACCAAGTAGATATAGTAGTAGTAATAATAATAATAAATATAATAATAATAATGAATATAATAATAATAATAATAATAATAATAATAACGCTCACATTCATAGCCCCGTACTAGGGAAACTCTGTGTCCCGGGTGCGATGGACTGACACATAGAAAATCACAAATTACACCCAAACTCACGAGAGAAATAAATGTAGACCATACAAATATTTTTCCCGGCCCGGGCAACGAACCCGGGATACTGCGTGGCAGATCAGCATGGTAACCGGTCGGCCACAGAGTAGTTAGTAATTTTGTAGTACAACTTTAGTACAAATATTTCCTTAAATTTAGTCCGTTATGCATTCTATGTAGAGACACAGTATCTCAAACAAATTTGGTACTGTAGTGTATTTAAAAAAGAAAAATATTTTTTTTACCAAATTCGTAATACCATGTGCATTAAGGATGGGTGACACGTTAATGGGTTTTTATTTGGTCAACATACCTGGATATCGCCTCATAAACCCAGTAGATGAAGCAAAATACTGCCACGAAAGAGATGCGTCAATTTCGTAGTTGTTCACGAACAATGGATCCAAATGTTCCGACCACGCGATTTGGTTTTGTACTTCGAAATCTGTGTGAAAAACAAAAATAATTTAATTAATTCTGCAACTGTGGTATTGTTAACAAGACTGATCAATTAATTTGTCCAATGTCCTTCCGGACTATTAGTACGTACGTACCACTAATGAGGAAACTGCCACTAATTACGCTTGTTATATTGTTATCCAGGAAATGGCTTTGGATTGAAATAAAAAAGTGCAGGGCTATGAATTATGAATGAGGCAATTTGTTAGTTGGTACTAACAGACTCTGGGACACGGTTGGCACTGTGTGGGACAATTAGGCAAATTTTCTTTAACTACCCATTAAAAGAAGCGTAATTGGCAAACTTGGTTCATTGGGCAGCCGTGATTGCTTTCTGTTAGGCCGGCGGGTGGAAAAATTAATGGCTCGACCGCTACTATGGTTTGTCAAATGGACGCGAAACGACGGAATGGCCTATTGCGCCATTAGTACGCGGAGTTCCTGAAAATTTCTTGAGCTTTTCTAAATAAATTAGTACGTACTTTTGATTAGGATTTAAACTCAAATGTACTTTACAATTGATCATTATCCTTAATACCTACAATGAAAATAGATGAGGAAAAGCATGTACTAAATTCCACATAATTATATGCATAAAAAGTAGATATCAAAGTAAACTCCTAAAAGAGTTGCTTGCATGGTGGTGGCAGTCCGAAGACGTTCACGGAAGTTCGGTGTACCATCATACTGCAGGTTTCGTACAGATATTTCCGAGAAACGAGATGCCGTTTGTCTACCCTTATTTTTAATGGAAGACGCAAAAAATTTGGTTTGCGCAAGCGGAGGCGCAGTTTCAAGTATCCAGCATTAAGACGATTCCACGAAATTATACACGATCGCTTTGTAATTAGATCAGCGCTTGGCAAAGGGAGGAAATGACCTCACGGAGAGCCCACCGGCGACTGATAAGTACTCTAAACTTAAGCAAAATTTAAATAAGAGCTAGTCCATTCCGCGCGAGAAAAAAATAACTTAACTTTTGTTTCACAAAAACTAGAGAACCGTCAGCGATAGCGACAGTGACGAATTTTTGACGATAGAAACAACTACCTTTGCATGTGCGAGGCGTTATTTTCTCGCAAAGGATAAACAGGCTGCCGGAATTTGTTGACCTCGTTAATAGGGTAAAGGAGGTAGTCGCGCCATCACCTTATGAAATAAACACATTTCTGTTACAAAGGCCTCAAAACAATCGTTACAACCACTTCACACTGGTCCGTAATAAGTAGTATCCAAGACATGAGACTATAACGTCAGAGCACCTGCGACAATAGAGCTAAGCCAGCATAAAGTTTGGCAGATAACAACCAAAGAGTAACACAAGGTCACATACATAAAGGTGGATCACTTTTGAGATGGTCCGCTGCCTATAATAATCCGGTTGGGGTTGTCCAATAAATTTCCAAATTATTTCAAGAAACAAACTAATAAATGAAGCCGGTGCTGTGGCGGCACATGTCAGCTGAGACTTCAGACCGGCTAGTTCGTTATCGAAGTTCAGAGCGTTACCACATTGCGAGCTTTAATAACCCGGGTGTCATAAACTGCAGCGTGGGTTTCAACCCGCTAGCTTTCGCGCTGAACCACTACACCTCTACTAGCTTGCTTATCTAGACTTTTTGCCCGCTTAATTATGCTTTTAGTCAAAGATTATTGATTCCATAGGTAAAATAAATTTACACTTGAAATCTGGATGAAATGAAATTTGGATTTGTAACACAAAGTACAATTCTAGATATAAACGTACGAACCTATGACCAAGCGTTGTAGTAATTTAGGGTAATAAATGTTGTCTATGCAAACATACCATGGAGAATTCGACTTTGATTAGATTGCCACGTATCAGATCACAGATATACATTTATATGTTATATAGAAACAATGTTTGCAGACCTATAATGGATATGGTTATGTTTCGAATAATTGAATTAAACGTTATCTAGTCATTTATTATGTAATATATTCATAAAATTAGTGAATGTAAGTTTTCGTCAGTGTTTTGTAGAAAGGGCGTAAGCAACATTTCGAAATTTGTTGTTATGACTGTTTTAAAATGTTTACGTTTTGTTCTAAATTTATTTAAAACTTAAACTAAATTAAAACCAAAACCTTAAACATGAACAATTTTTCGAATTGTCAGTTATACCTATTATATATATTTATACAAAACACCGACGAAATAATGACCAATCATAATTTAATTACAAAGTATAATTTCACCAAAAAATAGTGGAACCCTGTCAGTGACTCTGTGTAAGCAACAAATAGGAACATGTCAAAGTTCATAAATCATTCCACCCCCGGGCTGTTGTCGACTTCAGTAGGTAGAGATATACGTGTCATTAGTTAAGTATGAGAGACAAACGTTGTAGCCCTGTCGTTTAGGTAAAATTGTAAATTACGCGTTTCGTATCTGATAAGTAATTATTTACTAAATTAACAAGAGTTACCTCTTGTTTTCGAATGAAAAAGCACCGTAAAATTTTATATTAATATGAACTTAACGACAAAACTATGACTAAGCAGTTTTATATAATCATGTTGCCTGTTCGTGGTAGTTGTCAGCATTGAGTCACCGGAACTTTAATCAGGGTGTTTATAATTTTGCCTGGTTGACTCATGAAATTATGTCAACGGCATTATAGGAGTTCGAGTATTTTTAATTTGAGTACGGAAACATGTATCTACAAACCGATTAATGACATAAAAGTAGTTTTGTTGTACGCAAAATGTGCTTCCTTTCAGGGTCTTTTTTATAATATCAAGTGACGGGACGAACGAGTCATGCGCCTGATGATAAGCTACACGCTTGTCCATAACAGTTGCAGTGGCACTCAGAGCTTTAAATCGCAAATATCTGAGGCGCACTACCATTACGCCCGTCACCCTGAGACATAAGTTGACAAGACCCATGTGCTTGTAATTTCACCAGCACCCTTTACCGTTCAAAACCGGAACGCAATAATGCTGACATTACTGCTTGGCGGCAGAAATAGGTAAGGTGGCAGTACTTCCCTGGACGAATTCTTTCACAACGAGCTCTACTGTTGCTGTCTGCTACGGGGTCGATTTTGGGTAAGGTTTCTCGTTAACTTTTGTTATTTTATTAGAATATAATTATAATGCACTTGGTATTGTACCTTCCACATTAATATAAGGCGGCATAAGCACAGCACTGTAGCTGGTATTCACAGCAATATGATCAAAATGACGACTCGGTGTAAGAATGAGTCTTCTTGCGCGCGCAGCCAGCGTGCCATCATCCGTGTGGACGTTTAGCCAGCGCGCGTCGTAGTACGATCCTGGGGAACCGTCGCTGCCGCTGGCTGACAGGGCTGCTGCTTCGGCTGAGTCCATAATGCGCTGCAACAAAAACAATTGTTGTCAAACACACGAACTGTTAAGTGTAACTTTCATGCTATTATGATGAAC